GATTAAAATTTATTTTTCTATATATAAAAATTTGAGTAGATTAAAATTTATTTTTTTATATATTAAAATTTGAACCGATTAAAATTCGATTCAAACTAATTAAATTTTATTTTTTTGATGTATTAAAAATTGAGCCTATTAAATTTTTTTTTTACGCATTAAAATTCGAGCTAATTTGAGCTCTACCTGAACTGTAATTGTCGATTAAAATTCATGTCAATTAAATTTTGATTCAAGTTGATTAAAATTTAATCCGAACCGATTAAAAATGAATTTTAGTACATAAAAAAAATAATTTTTAATCAACTCAAATTTTAATACATAAAAAATGAATTTTAATTAGTTCGAATAGAATTTTAATCGACCCAAATTTTAATACGTAAAAAAATTTAGAAAATAGAGGGGATACGTTGAAGATATGCATATCTAGAGGGAGTGTGAATGAAGTTTTTCCTAAAATGTATCATGGGTAATTTAATAAAATTGTATTATAATTGACACCTTTAATTTGACAAGACGTGTTCGTAAAGATTCAAAAAATAGAGATTTTATACTTAAAGAAATAGTAAAATAAAAGGGGGAATTTTTCCCAACAGTCACTAGTTCTGCTTGGGTTGAAATTGCTCGGCTTGATTTAAAAGTTTTATATTTTATATTGAACTTAGTTTAAACTCTCAACCAACCCAAGTTTTATATTTTAGATTGAGTTTGGTTTGAACTCTCAACCAACCGAATCAGCCAGAGTTGTACCCCTACTTGGGCCAAGTAAGTCTTTGGGCAAAGATGTGAGCCTACCATACTAAATTGCGGGCTAACAAAGGCTCTCTTTTCGATCGTCTAATAAAAATGCAACAGCGTATTTTTTTAAAATTTTTTATTTTATCTTATTTATTATTTTTAAGAGTACATAAAGAAAACTATCTCTGGTGGAGCCAATTTTTTTAATCCATGTTCCAATTGAATAAAAAATAATGCATCAATGATCAACTAATGAAGGTTTAGTATCCGGAGTAGTTTGTATGAGAAGAGTTCAAGGGTTACTTGCTACCTAAAAAGTAGTGTTTGTTTACATATTGAATATACATATAACTCTGAATCCGCAGAAAAAAGGAAACTCTAAATGTTGTAAATTATTCAATAAAGAACTCGAATTACACAAAAATTGAAATTTCTTATGGTTTATTATTAATTTTGAAAATATTTCTTAAAATTATAAAAAGACTATTTTGAAGGCTTAGACGATAAAACTTGTCCACAAAATAGATTTCATAGCATAGTTACAAAAATTGATCGTTGGTTTTTTTCGTTTGACACTATTTTTTTTTAATTCTGAGTTCAATTCATTTTGCGTTTAGTACTATTTTGTAGTCTTTTGTTAACTTTTCAATGCGTAACGGTAGTCCGCTCAAAATAATTTATTGCAACTTGTTCTACGTCAGCGTGGTGATGGGTGATCACCCATACATCATATTTTCTTTGTCCAAGCATTTGATTTATTGCATGTAATACTGAGGTAACAAACACAGTAAACTTGAGGTAAGAAAGGCTCTAATGTTACACACAAAACATGAAAAGTCTTTAGAAGATTAAGTCAATGGTGTTATGATTTTTTTTTATTACAAAACGTCTTGGAGAAATTAGTTGAAGTCGTATTTTCCAACCATGCTTACATTTTTCTTTACCAGTATGTTTACTTGGTCAAGTGTACAACAACCGGCCATCCTACAAAATAAGCAGGTGTTTCTTGAGCAACAAAGGTCAATGCAATGCTAAAACACACTAACTATACACGGTAGCTTGCCTCCACCAACGTATTGTAGATGACTGACATACATATGGATATATTGTCACGATACGTATTGCACACTGTTGTCTCACGGTCATTCTATGCAACACAGTTGACATATTGCACATATGACCACACTGACACCACAAATATGTATGTGTGTGTGCGTGTATGAATAAATTACGCGTAAATCTTAGCTTATTATTACAAGTCAAATACCTTTTCAAGAAACTATATATCTAATTAAGAAAATTACCACAAAAGTTCGCATGACGATATCTTGAAGTTTTCTTAATCATTATTCACAATAGTAGATTTCGATGCTACAATGTACCTCCATAACCCATCTATAAATACCCTTCAATAGTTATTCAAACTTATTATATCGATAGGCTTCCGATTTCCCCGGTCATTTTTCTCTCAAGACTAAGAGAGTAAGTTTCTTTACAATTTTGTGATCTTCATTAATTTTTCATTGTTTCTTGCTTATCATCAAATTTAAATACTGTTTTTATTACAATCATCATCATCATCATGCCTCTTGGCTGCAATTACAAAATGAAACTATATGCATAGTTTATTGATTTAAATAAACCAAGAGTAAAATCTTTATTGCTTTGTTTGAGAAACATCGAATTATGATCTTTGTCTTCATAATTTTTGAGGAGGATTAGTAGCACTTTTGATTCCTAAAGTTTGTATTTTTTGTCAGTTTAGTCTTCATTGTATCAACTTTGTTAATTTGATCCCTAAAATATTTAATTCGTGTCATTTTAGTCCTTATCGTTAAGTAGTTGTTGACATATTAGGCACGTGATACCGTCTAAAAAATTGACACGTGGTCAATTTCGTTAAAAAAAATTGACGGTCTATTTATGTAGGGACTAAAGTGACACGAATTGAATAATTTATGGACCAAATTAATACAGTGAAGACAAAATTGACAAAAAATAAATATTTTGCGAATTAAAAGTGTTATTAATCCTTTTAAATATTTACTTATTTAGTCTTAATAATAATTCTTAATTCATGTAATATTCCATTAGCCTTAAAATCCTTTTCTTCTCTCTAACAGCAATTGCTCAACTACAAAGGAGGTTTCAACTTTCAAGACAAGAAAACATATTTTTTTGTTAATTTCAATGAACCATTCAATGGTTGCTCCAAAAACATTCGTTATCAAGCTGTATATCCACTGCAAGGGATGTGAGAGAAAGCTGAAAAGACTGCTGCAAAACATTCCTGGAGTTGATTCAATTGCCATAGATGCAAAGCAAGGAACAATGACTGTTTCAGGCACTGTAGATCCTCAAACAGTTATAACAACACTTGGGAAGGTCGGAAAAATGGCAGAGCTCTTGTTGGAGCAAAGCCCTCCTACCGCGAATAACCGGAATTTGCAGATTCTTCCAAGATCCGAAGTGGATGATCAAGTTGATGGCCAACACATGGTGGATCATGAGTTGCAACAATTGAAAGGAATTAAAGGCTTGAAACATGTGGAGCTGACCTATAAAGTCGTAAAACTGACTTTCAAGGATGATTCAAGTTGTGGAAATGAGAGACATGCAGAGGTTGTTGGCCGGGATGATGTTTATAGGCGGCGAATGAGCCCTAGTGGCAGACTTGGTGGTGGTGGCGATCGTGGTGGTGGTTCAGGTACTCCATGTTGTCATGGTATGAACAACATTCATGACCACCTTCCCTGCTGTCAAATTGATACTTCTTATTGTGTTGAACATTCAAACGCTGGTGTTATGCCTGACCATGAGGTTAATGAGTACTACTGGCTACAACCGGCATGGCAGTGCAGTCCTCCACCAGGGCCACCACTGCCGTGGACAAGGGACAGTCCGTCAGCGCCACCGCTAGCATCCATTTATGATCCAATAGCACCTCCACCTCCACCTCCACCTCCACCTCCAATGGATTACACATACTCAAGCATATTTATGGATGAGAATACAAACAGTTGCAAGTTGATGTGAGTTGCTAGCACTTGGTTTTGCTTGACTTGTGCTCCAGACAGACTTTTTTTGCCAGCTTTTTTTTTCCCTTCTTATTTTGATTTGTTCCCTTCCGGGTCTGTACATTCTCACTCTTCCATTTTGTTTGTTTGAGTAAGGCTTTGTCCCAAAACAAATCTCAAATCTTACATCAAACTCCATGATTGGATCAATGAGTCTCATTCACCCAACTATTCACATTGACTTAGGATGTAAAATTTGAGAAATATTTTGGGAAGTATGGTGGTGTTGTATTTATTTTTTCTCCAAAGTTGCGACTCTTTTACGTTGTGTTAGATTTTCTTCTTTTGTCCTATTATTGTATGTTCTTTTGAAAATTTTCCTCAAGAGTTCATGAATGGATTAGCATTCAATGCGTTTATCAAAGCATTGAGCCAAAAATAAAGCAAAAAGAAAAAAAGAAAAAGAAATATAGAGTTAGATTTGATGCATAAAATTGAGAAGTCTTGTAAAATGATTGGAAATCTGGAAATCTCATTAACTATTATATCACCTTACTGGACATGAATATAGAATACAAGACTTTTCAGAAGAAGTCTGTATACATTGAGAGAGAGAGAGAGAAGGGTCATACAGGTAGTGGCGGAGGTTCAAACATAAAGACCAATACAAAACTCAATGGTTCCAATAAAATCACATTATTATATTAACAAATAAGGTCAAATTTTTAAGTTTGAATAACATTAATAAATCATAATATATGTTTTTTGGGGGCTAGGGTGACGCCGTGGCAGGGTGTGATGGTGGTGCGGTGGGGCGTACCTCGGGAATTCAAGTATAAAGGGGTTCAGCTCACATTTTATAATATTCTTCAATTCATCTCAATGGTATATCATACATCAGGGAAGATCGAGAAATCCACTTATAGACTCAACTTAAATTCATAATAGATAATTTGTCAAAAATTCAAAAAAACTTGTAATTGGTTGGGTGGGGGATCTAACTTCAAAACTATTCGAATAACTAAATATTACTTATGATTTTGGATGGTAATTTTTGGCAAACCAAAATATTACCATAGACTAATGGTCAATACGAATCTAAAATAACAGGATCCGTTAGCACGACTAATAAGCACATTTTTAGTCCTAATTTTCTGTCAATATAGTATTACCCAAAACTTTAGAGTAATATTAATTAAACCAAAAAATTTGATTAATTTGCTGACATAATGATGTGGTTTTATCGGAATTATTAGATCAACACCAAGTTCCAATATTTAATGGGGTCTACAGTGAATTTAAATGTCATAGTGAATTAGATCAACAAATTATAATAATAAATTAAATCTTAGTAACATTGCTCAAACTATAACGCTAGACACAAAGCATGAAAAAATTTATAAATCAGTATTTACAATTTATATTTGTTATAAAAACAATTAATCATCATTATGTAGTGTTAGTTGGAAAAATTTGTGGAAGTCCCATTTCAAAAAATGATTACTTTTTCTTTACTAATATGTTTGCTTGCTCAAGTGTACAACAACCGACCGGCCATCCTATATAATAAGCTAGTTTTTGTAGACCAACAAAGGTGAATCAATGCCAACTATGAACAATGCACGGTATCTGGCCACCACCAACCTACAACGGCGGACGTATGATTATACTAGTCATAATTCGTGCACGAAGGTATGATAAAACATAAAATTCGAGTATTCAAAAAAATCTATTTCACTATATTAAATAATAAATTATATTAAACTATAAGTTAATTAAATATTAAAATAATTCGACGTGCGATAAAAATTGATAATGTTATATTTTTTGAGAGAAAAATATGTAAAGAATAAAATTAAACTTGTGAACTATCTTATTATATAGATTGTCACGATTGACATATTTTGGACACTGTTATCACATGACCATTCTATACCCTACGAGTGACATATCTCACATAACCACATATATATGTATATATGTGTGTGTGTATAGAAACATTATGTGTAGAGCTTAGCTTATTTTTTAGGGTGGATTATAATTTGTTCTCTCAAACTATGTCTCTAGTTACAATAAGTTCCTTATGATATTAAATGTTGTAATTTATTATCTTCAAGTTTGAAACGGACTACATTGACTGACAAAAGTGATTGGCATATGAAAGTATTATTATAACCTTCATCTTGTATGTTATTTACCATTTTTTTTTATATACCAATTCTATCTCTAAAAAATAAGAAAACGATAAAGTCAATTAAAAATATATTTGTTCAGCTCAATACCAGCACACTGTGTTCACCTTCACCTTCATTTCCATCTCCATCCAACACCAACACATGAGCGCACACACATACATACTCTTTTCAGGGATAATTGTATCTTTTCAACATGTTGGAAAAGATTGTTTTGGTCGGTCCGAGTTGTTATAGTAATCTCTAATTTGAAACATTTTTTATGGTGTAAAATTAAATGTTTGAGTTAATTACAAAATATTCAAACTTTAAGAGAGCTATCTGTTGAAATTAAAACCTGAATGAATGAATGACAAACTATCTAAAGTTGAAGACTGTATTTTGTAATTAGCCCTATTTTTTAACAATCCAAACAACTTTCTAGGAAGGTGCATCTCAATAAGAAGTAAGAAATAAAAAATAGTCAAAGGAAATTACCACAAAGATGTCTTGACGTTTGCTTAAGTATTAAGATGAGAATTAGTCATCAAAGTAGATTTCCATGCTACCGTGTGCCTTCATGTATCCCATCTATAAATACAATTCAACAGTTTTACAAACTTAGCCTTCATAATCTGAAAATTTTCAATTGATCTTAAAGATCCTTTGCTTCTTTCTAACAGAAATTGCTCTAGTACAAAAGAGGTTTCAAGGCAAGAAAGAAACCATATTTTTGGGTAGTTTCAATGTACCAATCTATGGTTGCTCCCAAAACCTTTCTTCTCAAGGTGAATATCCACTGCCAGGGATGTGAGAGAGACATCAAAAAATTGCTGAAAAAAATTCCTGGAGTATGCTCAACTGAAATAGATGCAGAACAAGGAACAGTGACTGTTTCAGGAACCGTACATCCTCAAACAGTTATAACGATACTCGGGAAGGCCGGAAAAGTAGCAGAGCTCTTGCCGGAGCAAAGCTTCCCGGCTGCGAATAACCAGAATTTGCAGATAGTTGCACAATCACAAGGGGTTGATCAAGTTCATGAGCAACACACGGTAGCTCATGAGTTGAAGCAACTGAATGGAATTAAAGGGTTGAAACAGGCGGAGCTGACCTATAAGAGTATAAAGCTTACATTCAAGGATGATGTCCACGATGATGTTTGTAGGCCTCGAACACCCCCTAGCGACAGACTTGGTGGTGGTGGTGGCGGCGGTGGTATGGTCCTCCACGATGATGATTATGGAGGATTCTATAATCATGATGATAAAGGAATCTACTGGCCACCACCAGACCGGCGGTGCAGTCCTCCACCAGGGTCACCACCTCCCTGGCAAAGGAAGATTCCGTCAGCCCCACCGGTGGTATCCGATTATGATCCAATAGCACCTCCACAACCTGTCATGGGTTACCCATACTCCAGCAGATCCCGGGATGAGCAACCAAGCTGTTGCGTGATCATATGAGATTGAATTGTTCCCTTGTCTTCTGTACATTCTATTTTGTTGTCGTACTTTATCTCTTTTTTTGTTCAGTGTAGCATTATTTTTATTTTTTGGGACGGCTTGTAATTATTTAAATTTCATTTCATTTTCTTCTTTTTGTCCTGTAATTGTCATGTTATTTAAGAATTTTTCCTCAAGAGTTCCAGAATTGATTAGTATTGAATAAAATGCATGTTGTTAAGTACTCCAAAGTGTTGGGTCAGGTTGGTCCACGGTTCTATTATCTAGCCCAAAACAGGTAGACCATTATCTTTCAAAAGACGACTTGGATTTATTTTTAAACTCATTGCTCGGTCTAGATCCTAACCCATGAGCCCGCTTGCAAAAATCGGCCCAAGAGATCACTCAACCCGTTTGCTCTTCCACTCAATTGTTTGAAAAAAAATTGACTATTGAAACTTTAAAAATTTTGTAACAATATATAACTCGATTTTATTTAAATAAAATTACTCATTATTTAATTTTTGTCTATTTTAACTTTATTTTTAATTCAAATATATAATTTATAAAAATATTAGGTTGAGAACTTTTTAAATAAAATTATATATATAGATATATATTAAGGCCTGTCTAATGAGTGATAGGTTGGACTACGAGCAGTCCACCCCTACTTGAGTCCGGTCCAGCATGTCCAATAACTCATCCGACTGAGAATTTGGACCTATCCTACACAGGCTCAACCGAGAAAAAAAATTTGAGGGCCAAGCCTAGTCCGGCTCATAGACACTCCTAACTATATAGGAGCATAAAACATTCATTCTGAACTGACATGAGATGCGTCTGGCTGGGCTTACCCAATCTTCGGGACAAAGACTCCTGGCCCACCCCAAAAATGAATATTAAAGAGGGAGGGAGGCAGCCCTGGAGCAGCAAACCGAGAGAGAGAGGTCTCCGAGTTAGAATAACTACACACTCGTGAGAAAGCCGACCAATTCCGTCAAAAGAACGGAATTCAAGTTTTCGACTTTTGTATCTGTTCGACCGGTTGGTCTTCCCACGTACCACAGTTTTATTCTTTGAAATATTTCAATTATTAATACCTGATTTTTATTGTTATACTTAACATTTTAAAATAATATTTGAAAAACATAAAAATAATATGGCCCAAAGTCCAGGCAGGATGGGCTGGGCCACTGGTTCATGGCCACCCCTACACTTAGGTTGCCTAATTTTCACTATTTTTTTTTGGTTCAACTCTTAAGAATATTCGAACCAGTTTTTTCGCACCTCGACTAATTATCTCTCTATATACACATATTTAACTAAGGATATAATATGCTAAGTTGCTAAAATAGTAAACGTAAAACCTTAAAATGATGGGAAATTGGCAAATTTCAATAATTATTACATCACAACACTGAACATGAATATAGAATCCGAAGAATTTTTTCAGTAGCAAACAAAAAATTAGAAGAAATCAGACTTAATTATCTCACCAACAACAACACACATTGAACCTTTTGCACAGAAACACCAACATTTATAAAGCAGGTTATATAAAAAAATTTCCGAACACTCTTCTATGGCATAGTTGGTTTGATCTCTAAAGCAATTAGCCTCTCTTTGGAAGGGCCAAAGCTGAGAAAACTGATGAAACAGCGGAGAAGAAGAACCCGATGAGGAGAATACTAGCAGCAGCATTGGCCTTGTTGAAGAAAGAACCAAAGCCCAAAAGGCCCGACCTCAAATCGATCGTGGCGCCAAAACCAGCAGCAGAGCCTGTGGCTAGCATGTAAGAGATCACCTGCTCAAACAAGTAGAGATATCCATGTCAAACACTTAAATTAGCATGTACTTACAAACAAAAGATTTCGAAGTCATCATTGAAGAGAATATGTAAAACATGTTAATCTATGGTGAATTTGGCGGATTGAGAGGTCAATGCGGACTAAACTCAAGGTATAAAGCCCCAATCCTTTGTTTGGGATTGAATCATGTAGTAAAACACATGGGATGGGAGGAAAAGAGAGCAATATAATCTGTTTGGTAGTTTTTAAGAAGAGCAATGTTATTGGGATCTAATTTGTTGACCTAATTTACTATAATCTTTGAATTAACTGTAGGACCTATCAAACATTGAAACTTGATGTTAATCCAATAGCTCAATTGAAGCCACATCATTATTTCAGTATATTAGATCAAATTTTTAGGTTTAAATAGTAGTACTCTATTAAGAAGGAGGGAAGAGGAGACAAATGGAAGGATTTGAACACCCATTGGCCCATTTTTGACATTAGGAGGATTTGGGAAGTGGGAAAAGCTCTTTGGATGGTGGACCAGAGCAGAGTCTGGTTATCGGGTTAGAGGTCTGAGCTTGAGCTTGTGTTAGGAAAGTATTCCAAGAATGGAGGAGGTTGTCTACTACCATCCAAATGAATTTCATTCACATATTGCTCGTCCATATTAGAACAGTTTGTAACTTTCATCTCCCCCCCCCCCC